TGGTCAAAGGACATTTAACCAGCTACCAAACTCACAAGTTGTGTATTTTTCTGTTTGTTTGCTTTGTTCTGTAATATAATGGACTGGCTGCTCTGACACAACAAATAAAAAAATGGCCATGGAATCCTAGGAGTTGACACAGGAGAGCTTTAGCCTTCCCAACTCTGGTGCCTCACCAAACAACAACTCCTAGGATTCCATAGCATTGAGTGGTGGCAGTTAAAGTGGTGTCAAACTGGGTTAATTATACTGTGTAGATACACCTAGATACCTTTGAGACCATGTGCGTGTCCGGGGAGGAAGAACTCCGTTATCCAATCTGTTTGCTTGTTCAGTTCTCTCATATCCATCACGTCTTCTCGGTTCTTGAACCACTCCTTTATTACCAGCTTTTTGGTACCTTTTGGCAAAAGGGAAGGAGAAAACCCTTTAAAGTGACAATGGCATAAAAGTGAAAGATCATATTTATTGTTTAAAAATCGAATCGCCAGCGCCCCCTATATACGAAACGAGTTTAGAACCATTTTTTTTCTTGATTGCCCAAGCCTACTACTTACAGTCTAGATCCTCATAGACAGTGAGCCGTGTAACCAATCCATTGCTGTTCAGATATGGTGACCATGTCTCCAACTTGGCATTCTTGTACTGGATCACCTTCTTGCCCTGTGGGCACCGGGTCTCAAACTCTAGTGACAGCAAACAGAAGCAAAGGTAAGGAACCCATATGGTCCTCCAGATGTTGGAAATCCACTGGCCATAATGGCTAGAGTCAAAGAGTAAAACTAAACAACTGGTTCCCAATCATAGACTGAGTATCCAAAAACTTCTGGAAGATGACAGATTATTCACCTCGGAAGTATAGGGCACTTCGATTGTGTCAAATGCTTTTTCAATACAGGGCATTTCAATTGTGTCGAAAGCTTTTCAATATAGGATACTTCAATAGTGTCTAATGCTTTTCAATACAGGACATTTCGATTGTGTCAAATGCTTTTTCAATACAGGGCATTTCTTTTGGAAAATGGAAATCTCAAGAACCTTTTGGAGATTTTATGATTTTTGGAAAGGCATGTCCTTGTTAGAAGTCATAACCTTTTGGAAAATGATGCCATAACCTCTTGGGAAAAAGCATGACCTGTTAGAGTCATAACATTTTCAGAAAATGGCATTTATATAAGGCAATTGGGTTTCTCAGCTGTTAAACTGATGTACCTAGGTATGTCTTTGAACTGTTAGGTTTCAGAAGTGTTCTTTTTAGTTGTCCATACATCTATTATTTATTCATTTATGTCACGTTTATCCCGCCCATATCAGCCCGAAGGTGACTCAGGACGGCGTACAAATTGGCACAATTAGATGCCATATAAAAATAAATCGGTTAAAATAAAAAAAAATCACATTACAATACATTTAAAAACTGTAAAAGCAATAACAATAAAAATTATAAAAACTATGTCTTCTTGTTCAAATCCTCAACCGTTCCATCATCTTAGCCGTTCCTAGTTCATATTCCAATTTGAGTTTATCTGGTCATGCTGAAGTTCCAAACGCTTGCTCAAAGAGCCAGGTTTTCACTCTTTTTCGAAAGCTCAAGATGGAGGGGGCCGATCTAATATCCCTAGGCAGGGAGTTCCACAGCTGAGGGGCCACCACAGAGAAGGTCCTGTCTCTTGTCCCTGGTCATGCTGAAGTTCCAAACACTTGCTCAAAGAGCCAGGTTTTCACTCTTTTTCGAAAGCTCAAGATGGAGGGGGCCGATCTAATATCCCTAGGCAGGGAGTTCCACAGCTGAGGGGCCACCACAGAGAAGGTCCTATCTCTTGTCCCTGGTCATGCTGAAGTTCCAAACACTTGCTCAAAGAGCCAGGTTTTCACTCTTTTTCAAAAGGTCAAGAGGGAGGGGGCCGATCTAATATCCCTAGGCAGGGAGTTCCACATATACTCTCCCTTTAAACCTCTTGGTTTAAATCATGCTTTCAAGAGACAAAAATAAGCAGACTTCTTTAAAAGTAACATAGCTGGGTTACTCACAGACTTAATGTAGTCAATATACAGGTACTTTGCATATCAATCCCGTTACAAATAGAACGGAAGTAGTTTCTCTGTGTGGATAACACAGGGCATCTTTCTTACAATCAACACTCCAAAGTCCAAAGCATCTCTCTGTTCAGAGAGTTTAATAGAGTCTCTGACTAGTCTGAAAGTCCAATGGAGTCTCTTAGCATACTGTTCTGCTGGTGCTTGAAAGCAAAACTGTTCTAAAATGTAGTCTGAGTCCCGAACAAGCCCAGAGCTGATCACATGGTCTGCAGCCACTCCCACAACAAAGTTAAAGAAAAACTGCAAACCAATATACACATATACAATACAGTAAGCAATCTGAATTATATATACATAACAAACAACTAGTGGAGGCTTGAAGAAGGTTGCTATTTCCAATAATTTCAATTGTGTGAAATGCTTTTCAATATGAAATACTTCAATTGTGTCAAATGCTTTTCAATATAGGACGCTTCAATTGTGTCGAATGCTTTTTAATGCAGGACATTTCAATGGTGTCAAATGCTTTTCAATACAAGACATTTCAATTGTGCCAAATGCCTTTCAACATACTTAAACACTTAGACAATCCAGTCCTCAGCTTTCACGGGGATCACAACATCTTCTTAATCACTTCCATTTGTATCTATTTCAAGCATGAGCAGGCCAATGTAACATTGTACACACATTGTGGGACACTTCAATTGTGTCGAATGCTTTTTCAATGCATGTCATTTCAATCGTACCAAATGTTTTCCAGTATTGTGGAAAACATGCTTTCCAATATAGGACACTTCAGTTGTGTCAAATGCTTTTTAATGCAGGACATTTCAATGGTGTCGAATGCTTTTTCAATGCAGGGCATTTCAATCGTACCAAATGTTTTCCAGTATTGTGGAAAACATGTTTTCCAATATAGGACACTTCAATTGTGTCAAATGCTTTTCAATATAGGACACTTCAATTGTGTCAAATGCTTTTTAATGCAGGACATTTCAATGGTGTCAAATGCTTTTCAATACAGGACATTTCAATTGTGCCAAATGCCTTTCAACATACTTAAACACTTAGACAATCCATTCCTCAGCTTTCACACGGATCACAACATCTTCCTAATCACCTCCATTTGTATCTATTTCAAGCATGAGCAGGCCAATGTACCATTGTACACACATTGTGGGACACTTCAATTGTGTCGAATGCTTTTTCAATGCAGGACATTTCAGTCATACGAAATGTTTTCCAGTATTGTTGAAAACATGCTTTCCAATATAGGACACTTCAATTGTGTCGAATGCTTTTTAATGCAGGACATTTCAATGGTGTCAAATGCTTTTCAATACAGGGCATTTCAATTGTGCCAAATGCCTTTTAACGTACATAGACGCTTAGGACACTTCAATTGTGTAAAATGCTTTCCAATATAGGACACTTCAATTGTGTCAAATGCTTTTTAATTCAGGACATTTCAATTGTGTCAAACGGTTTACAATACAAGACATTTCAATTGTGCCAAATGCCTTTCAACATACTTAGACACTTAGACAATCTATTCCTCAGCTTCCACGTGGATCACAACATCTTCCTAATCACCTCCATTTGTATCTATTTCAAGCATGAGGAGGCCAATGTACGATTGTACACACATTGTGGGATACTTCAATTGTGTCAAATGCTTTTTCAATGCAGGGCATTTCAATTGTACCAAATGTTTTCCAGTATTGTGGAAAACATACTTTTCAATACAGGACATTTCAATTGTGCCAAATGCCTTTCAACATACTTAAGACACTTAGACAATTCATTCCTCAGCTTTCACGCAGATCACAACATCTTCCTAATCACCTCCATTTGTATCTATTTCAAGCATGAGCTGACCAATGTACCATTGTACACACATCGTGAGACACTTCAATTGTGGCAAATGCTTTTTCAATGCAGGGCATTTCAATTGTACCAAATGTTTTCCAAGATTGTGGAAAACATGCTTTCCAAGACAGAACACTTCAATTGTGTCGAATGCTTTCCAATATAGGACACTTCAATTGTGTCGAATGCTTTTCAATATAGGACACTTCAATTGTGTTGAATGCTTTTTAATGCAGGGCATTTCAATGGTGTCAAATGCTTTTCAATACAGAACATTTCAATTGTGCCAAATGCCTTTCAGCATACTTAGACACTTAGACAATTCATTCCTCAGCTTTCACGCGGATCACAACATCTTCCTAATCACCTCCATTTGTATCTATTTCAAGCATGAGCAGGCCAATGTATCACTGTACACACTTTGTGGGTTTTGCACCTCAGATTAAGCTTCACCTTGCTCTCAATCACCACCAGACCACGGCTGTAAGATTTATAGTTTATTGTAAGATTTCCAAAAGAAGGCAAAGGTTAAGTCAATACAAAGTTCCAAAGTTCAGGTAAAATGCACGGTACAGTTCCAGAAATCCTTAAGAGAAAATAAACAAGAGTCATGAAGCAGGAAGCACAAACCCTGTGCCAAGCAACCTAGCCCAAAAGTAGCATGAAGAAACCCAGGCTCCAAGCCTCCTGCTCCCAATGCAGGATCGTGAAGCTGCTAGTAGAAAGCCACGTTGAAACTGACAGCTGTGAATCGCTAGTGAAAGCCCTAAATACTTTTACACATCAAAACAATCTACTTTCCCACTGCTCCCTTGACCTGTCGCTGACCTAACTTGGCAGCGATCCGCGAGCTCCTTCTCACAGTTTTGTTATCCCTTTGAAGCAGCACCTGGGCCTCATCCTTATCATCTGCATTCCTGTCCTGTGAGAACTGCTTCTCCAACTCTACTGCAGGCTGAGAAAACTGTGGCTGAGAAAACTGAAATCCATCAGGCTGCTCAGGAGACTGTTGAACCACAACAGTGGGACACTTCAATTGTGTCAAATTCTTTTTCAATGCAGGGCATTTCAATCGTACCAAATGTTTTCCAGTATTGTGGAAAACATGCTTTCCAAGACAGGACACTTCAATAGTGTCAAATGCTTTCTGATACAGGCAAATCTCCATTAACAAAGCAGATGTGTCTGTGTCATTATTTCTTTAACCAAACATTTGACACCAGGTGTAGAAATAACATGGAAAGAATGGGGATGGGATTCTACACCACAAAAAAGAGAGGCAGTTCAATATGTTTCAATTAACCTTGTACTTAAAAAAAGCAATCCGCATGTGTGAAATAACGCAATCAGATCAGGTAACTCTTGCTTAAGAGACTACGTGAAAGCTCCTCCCCAAACATAAAATAAATAATAATGATAGAAGACAAGGAACATAGATACAGTGCAGGGAGACATGTTAAGTTCATAGTGGGAAATCATACCCTTAATAACCCTTAACCATGTTTCGAGGGAAAGAAAAGTGTAGTTGCAAAGAAACATACAAATTGAAGGCAGTGAGGAAGCCATTAGGAACCAGGAAAGGGAAAAGATACCTTTTTGAGTTATCTGGATCGGCTCCACCCAAGAAGCAGGCATGTCAAAACTCTTTGGCTCCTCTTCTTTAAGCTATTGATAAGACCCAGGAGACAAAAAAAAAACCAAGATTATGGCACCAAGAATGATTGACAACTGGGAAATTGAGGGAGAAAACGTGGAGGCCGTGACAGACTTTGTATTTCTAGGTGCAAAGATGACTGCAGATGCAGACTGCAGCCAGGAAAATAGGAGACGCTTCCTTCTTGGGAGGAGAGCAAGGACCAATCTTGATAAAATAGTAAAGAGTAGAGACATCACACTGGCAACAAAGATCCGCATAGTGAAAGCAATGGTATTCCCCATAGTCACCTACGGATGTGAGAGCTGGACCATAGGGAAGGCTGAGCGAAGGAAGATCGATGTGCCTTGGACCGCAAGAAGATCCAACCAGTCCATACTTAAGGAAATAAAGCCGGACTGCTCATTGGAGGGAAGGAGAGTAGAGACAAAGATGAAGGAATTTGGCCACATCATGAGAAGACAGGAAAGCTTAAAGAAGAGAATGATGCTGGGGAAAATGGAAGGAGAAAGGAAGAGGGGCTGACCAAGGGCAAGATGGAGGCATGGTATAAAGAACAGCGAATCAATCTCAATCTCTGACACCAAATTATAACGATCGATCACAGATCAAACGGTACACCAATGCTGCCACCAATATTATACCTGGATCAATAATGGATTTCACTAGCTGCCAAATCAACTTATAGAGATTTACAGACCAAATATAAAATGCTACAAACCAATATGTAACGATCACCGTTCAATTGATAGACACCAATGTGTAGAACGACCGCCAATTGTTAAGGGCTAAACCGGATTATTAGGCTCTTTTTACTCAGGAAAGAACTCTTCTTAGGTCTAATAGGGAGAAACTAGGGCTGGGCGGTTTCGTTTCGTTAATTCGTAATTCGTTAAAAATTCGTTTTTTTATAACGAAGCGATAACGAACCATTCTGGAGCAACTTAAAAACGAAACGAATTTTTAAATTCGTTTCGTAAATGCTTCGGATTCGTTATGTATTCATTTCGTTATCGGTTTGAGGTCGTTTCGTTATTATTTCCGCATGTCTGGGGCAAGTTTTATAGTTGTTTTTTGTTTAATTAGTGAAAAAAATTATAATATCACACCAACAGTCAACAACAGAGGGAGAGGGAAGCTTCAGAAGTTCCCCCTGTCCCATTTGGAGGTTTTTTAGCGTATTGCGCGGTCGCGTCCGCCATTAACGAATCGATTCGTTATTGTTTCGTATTTGTTTCGTTAATGTTTCGTAATTTTTTTAACATTTACGAAATTTCGTAAATATCGAACTTTTTAAAAGAAAAATTTCGGAATTCTTTTAAATATCGAAACGCAAAACCCCCAAAAACGAATCGATTTTAGAAACAAATTTTTCTGTTGTTACCCAGGCCTAGGAGAAACATAAACTGAGTAAGTTATGGCTATATAATTACTGATGACTGAGAATTGTTGAAACTGTTTCTTCTGCTTGGCTGACGCTTTTCTACTTTTAGAACTGAGGAAACCTAGTAACACAACCTTTTGTGTTACAATGCAGTTTGTTTTTCAGAGAGATTAAATGCTTATCTAAAGTATTCACACACAGTCTGTGGTAGTAAAAATAGAATGAAACGTTTATTAAACAATCTTGAAAATCTTCAGGTACAGAATGCTTATTGGTTTCGTTAAAAATCATACAGTGTTTGAATTAAGTTCCAGTCATAACTTTCAAACTGAGAATTTATATCTTCTCCTAAATTAGATTCTTCCCTACAAACAGCCCACTACACCGGGTCTGTCTAGAAATGATCCTTCTTCTGAAATCACTATCTGAATCTATTTCTAAGTTAGACTTTTTCCTAAATCTTTGCTGCTTTACAAATCTACAACTGCTCTCCCTAACTCCCAACTCCAACTCTTCCCTCAGGATTTTAAAACGCCCCTTTTTTCCTCTCAGCTTCTCCTAAACTCCGCCCCCTTTTTCCACACCAATCCCGGCCATTCCCTGCCGTCTAATGCCTAAGACACGCCCCCTGCTCTGAACTACACTCAAGATGGCGTCTCCCTTCTCCAAAATGGCTGCTGATGCTTCGCCTTGCCCATTCTCTATCTTTCTAGTGAGGCGGCCCTAGGTAATTTTCAATGGTAAGCAAACAGTATTTTGGTCCCCCCCCCCCCCCCCAACCAATCACTGATATATATTTTCTGTTCGTCATGGGAGTTCTGTGTGCCATATTTGGTTCAATTCCATCATTGGTGGAGTTCAGAATGCTCTTTGATTTTAGGTGAACTATACATCCCAGTAACTACAACTCGCATATGTCAAGGTCTGTTTTCCCCCAAGAGTGCCTCAAGAGCACCCCTGGGCAAAATCAACTATACTGCAAATGCTTACTTTGCGTAATGGGTTGAGCCGCCCCTGTTTCTAGGCTTACAGGCTTTTCCTGGCCCTGCATCCTGGCTGTAACTAAGGTAAGGGTTACTAGGTTCTTGTGGGTTTTTTCGGGCTATAGAGCCATGTTCTAGAGGCATTTCTCCTGACGTTTCGCCTGCATCTATGGCAAGCATCCTCAGAGGTAGTGAGGTCTGTTGGAATTAGGACAATGGGTTTATATATCTGTGGAATGGCTGGGGTGGGGCAAGGAGCTCTTCCCTGCTGCAGTTAGGTGTGAATGTTTAGCTGATCACCTTCATTAGCATTTGAAGGCCTGCCTAAGCCTGGGAAATCTGTTGCTGGGAGGTGTTAATCTGTGCCTGGTTTTTTCCTCTCTGTTGTATAGCTGTTATAATTTTAGAGTTTTTTAATACTGGTAGCCAGATTTTGTTCATTTTCATGGTCTCTTCCTTTCTGTTGAAATTGTCCACATGCTTGTGGATTTCAATGGCTTCTCTGTGTAGCCTGACATGGTGGTTGTTGGTGTGGTCCAGCATTTCTGTGTTCTCAAATAATATGCTGTGTCCAGGCTGGTTCATCAGGTGCTCTGCTATGGCTGACTTCTCTGGTTGAAGTTGTCTGCAGTGCCTTTCATGTTCCTTGATGCGCAAGGGCAAGATGGATGGATGGCATCCTTGAAGTGACTGGATTGACCTTGAAGGAACTGGGGGAGGTGAAGGCTGACAGGGAGCTCTGGCGTGGGCTGGTCCAGGAGGTCACGAAGAGTCGGAAATGACTGAACGGATTAACAACAACAACTTTGGTCAATTACCGGTCTGAGCCATCATTCTGCAAATGCTTCGTTCCAGAACCAGGATTTCACTAGCTTTCTAAAGGTCAGGAGTGAGGGGGCAGAGATCATCCGGAGTTTCGGAGTGCGATGTCATCTGTACGCGGATGATGTCCAACTCTGTCACTCCTTTCCACCTGCTACTAAGGAGGCTGTCCAGGTCCTGAACCGGTGCTTGGCCGCTGTGACGGTCTGGATGAGGGCGAACAAATTGAAATTGAATCCAGACAAGACAGAGTTACTCCTGGTCAGTCGCAAGGCCGAACAGGGCATAGGGTTACAGCCTGTGTTGGATGGGGTCGCACTCCCCCTGAAGACGCAGGTTCGCAGTTTGGGTGTGACCCTGGACTCATCGCTGAGCCTGGAACCTCAGGTTTCAACAGTGACCAGGGGAGCATTTGCACAGTTAAAACTTGTGCGCCAACTGCGCCCGTACCTTGGGAAGTCTGACTTGGCCACGGTAGTCCACGCTCTGGTTACATCCCGTTTAGACTACTGCAACGCTCTCTACGTGGGGTTGCCTTTGAAGACGGCTCGGAAGCTCCAACTAGTCCAACGCTCGGCAGCCATGATACTAACAGGAGCGGAGCGCAGGGAGCATACAACTCCTCTGCTGCACCAGCTCCACTGGCTGCCGATTTGCTACCGGGCTCAATTCAAAGTGCTGGCGTTGGCCTTTAAAGCCCTAAACGGTTCTGGCCCAAGCTACCTATCCGAACGTATCTCTGCCTATCAGCCCGCCAGGACCCTAAGATCTTCTGGGGAGGCCCTGCTCTCAATCCCGCCTGCATCACAAGCACGGCTGGCGGGGACGAGGGACAGGGCCTTCTCTGTGGTGGCCCCTCGGCTGTGGAACGCCCTTCCCATGGAGGTAAGATCAGCCCCCTCGCTAATGGTGTTCCGAAGAAGATTAAAAACTTGGATGTTTGAACGGGCATTCGGTTAAACAGTGCAATGAATGTGATGATTACAGGAATGGAAATTTGGACGACGGATTGGATCACGACTCTAGTTATGAGATGCATTGTGTTGTCTATTGTTGTGTCAATATTGTATATTATGCTTTTATGGTTTTAAATTGTATATCGTTGATTGATTCTTATCCTTGTTGTAAACCGCGTTGAGTCGCCTGTTGGGCTGAGAAACTGCGGTATACAAGTAAAGTAAAATAAATAAATAAATTCATTTGGGAGAGGGAAACACTTTAGAAACACTTTAGAAACACACGAGAAATGTAACACTTTAGAAACACTGTAGAAATGATTGCACCCCCGATTTTGTAATGAGTTTTGAAATATTTTTTTCATTGATCGCACAGACCGAATGCATCGTTTTACTATTACTTGAAGAAGTACTGTGTCCACTTCTAGGCAAAACACTTGAAGGCAAATGCAGAAATGGACTACAAACCTTTCAGAGAGGACAACAAAAATAGCTAGGGCTATAGAAGAAGAAATCCTAGGAGGAAAGATGGAGATCTGTTTGGTCTGGAAAAGACAGAGCTTGGGAAATATTTTTTTGTACTATAGATCTTCACAAATGTGCCGTTGCGCCTGGGTTCTATAGATCTTAGTGAAAGATACATGGACGTGATATCTCTCCCCAGGGGATTGCTTCTTGCCCTCCTTTAGGAAACTGGAACTCCCAAGGACCAAGACACGACAGATAACTCGAAATAGGTTTATTGTTCACAATGAGTTATCTTTCTTAGACATAAACTTGATGTTTCAACATTGATAAAGGAAATATACGTTACAGTCTCTGAAGTCTTGGGTTCAAGGAGTTTGCAGCTGAGAAGCTTTCCAAGTTCCCTCTTTTCTCAATAGCTGTGAATGCCCGAGCACCCACAACTCCAGTCCATATTGCCTATATTTGAAGGCACAAAGTCTTCCTCTGGTGCCAAAGGACTGGTTTGAAGGCACTTGAGACTCCTCAATGTCGTCCAGGGAGATCTGGACATGAAGTGTGAGTCTCAAGGGTAAAAACCTGAGAATTGGTGATGAGAGATAGCTTAAAACAAGGGCTTTCGAGCCAAGTCTTTGTCACGTCCGTCTATAAAGCAGTCTGATGGTAGAATGAAGAAGGAAACACCACCCTCCTCTTCTGGGAAGAGGTGGTGCCAAATAATTGAGCTGAGGGGGCAATTCAACTGGTGCAAACAACATTGATTGACAGCTATAAATAACCAATCAATCCAACTATACATTTACAGAGAAAGCAGACAAGTTGGGGCATGTTACACAGTTCAAAACTTTGCAAATTAAAGTTCTACATATAGGTGGCGCCACTTGTGCCGTCACAACAAAGGAGATGGTTTTTTCCCACATCCTAGCATGTACTGGGTTAGGTAGCCTCCACGACCATAGCTGGGTCAGTCTTATAAGCCTGAGCTGTCCTTCTTTCTCCAGGTTTTAATATACAGTATATTCTGGCGTATAAGACTACTTTTTAACCCAAGAAAATCTTCTCAAAAGTCAGGGGTCGTCTTATACGCGGGTGTAGTCTTATGCATGGGAGTCGTCTTAACTCTATATTTTAACTGGAAAAGTTAGGGGTCGTCTTATATGCCCAGTCGTCTTATATGCCGGAATATACGGTATACGTGCCCCACAGTGAGGACAACCATCATAGCAGTCCTACAAAAGTGATGTTAGGTTCTTGTGGGTTTTTTCGGGCTATAGAGCCATGTTCTAGAGGCATTCTCCTGACATTTCGCCTGCATCTATGGCAAGCATCCTCAGAGGTAGTGAGGTCTGTTGAAACTAGGAAAATGGGTTTATATATCTGTGGAATGGCTGGGATGGGGCAAAGAGCCCTTCTCTGCTGGAGCTAGGTGTGAATGTTTCAGCTGACCACCTTCATTAGCATTTGAGGGCCTGGCTGAGCCTGGGAAAATGTTTTGTTGAAAGGTGTTAAGATGTGCCTGGTTGTTTCCTCTCTGTTGTTTTGCTGTTGTAATTTTAGAGTTTTTTAATACTGGTAGCCATATTTTGTTCATTTTCATGGTTTCCTCCTTTCTGTTGAAATTGTCCACATGCAGGACTACACAGAGAAGCCATTGAAATCCACAAGCATGTGGACAATTTCAACAGAAAGGAAGAGACCATGAAAATGAACAAAATCTGGCTACCAGTATTAAAAAACTCTAAAATTACAACAGCAAAACAACAGAGAGGAAACAACCAGGCACAGATTAACACCTCCCAGCAAGAGATTTTCCCAGGCTCAGCCAGGCCTTCAAATGCTAATGAAGGTGGTCAGTTGAAACATTCACACCTAGCTCCAGCAGAGAAGAGCTCTTTGCCCCACCCCATCCATTCCACAGATATATAAACCCATTGTCCTAATTCCAACAGACCTCACTACCTCTGAGGATGCTTGCCATAGATGCAGGCGAAACGTCAGGAGAAATGCCTCTAGAACATGGCTCTATAGCCCGAAAAAACCCACAAGAACCTAGTGATTCCAGCCATGAAAGCCTTCGACAATAAAAAGTGATGTTCTTGTATAGCAATGGCTTTGGAATACAAGGAAAAAGGCTTGAGTCACCTACCAAAATTTCTATTTCGTCATCCCCCATTTCCTCTTCCTCTTCCACGTCCGGCACCGAGAGGAGAGGCTTATCGGCACCCAGAAGCATGAATTCCCAACGCACTGGGTCACCAAGGTCAAACTGGAGGTCCTAGAAAAATATCAATGAACAGAGTAATCAGGACTTACCAAGAGTTTCTGGGCCAAATCAAACCATAGGTCCACATGTTACTTCTGAGACGACTACGTACTCATGCCTTGGATTAATGGATTGATCAGAGCCAAAAGAATGGAGGACCTTCTCCAAAGCAACCTCAGCATCCATTGGGGACTTGCAAGAAGTCAACAATTTGCCTCCTGATTTGGGTGGCAACACTCTTTCTTTCCCCCTTCCTTTCTTTTCCTTCCTTCCTTCCCCCCTTTTTCTTTCTTTCCCCTCCCTCACCCTTTCATTCCCTTGTTTTTCCCTTTCTAACTTTTCTTCCACCCTTTCCCTGTGACATCACAGAGGGCACTGTCACACCTAGCAACAACCAGCTCAATGATATCATAGCCTTTGTGGTACAAATGAACAAACATACATAAAAGGTACATTGGCTTCTCCTAGTAACGCACCCTGCAAGCGTTCCAGCAGTCTTGCATATTGATCCAGTAATTCCTGTGGTTCCAGACGCTCTCGATGCCAAGGAAGTGGTCATCTGTGGTGGGGTAGCTCTTCCCGGTGAAAGGGTCAATAAAGAAACTTTCGGGGACTTCTCGTTTGCCCGAAAGGACCAAGACCCAAGCGTGGACTCGTAGGCCATACAGAGTGTCCGGAACGGGCTTCTGGGCTTCCTGCATCCAAAAGAAAGAAATTTATTTATTTTTATTTCTTTCGTGTACTTATACCCCACCCTTCTCACCCCCGAGGGGGGACTCAGAGCGGCTTACAAAAGGCACATCTTGGTACCTACACAAATACAATAACATATAAAACCAGCAATTAAATGGTCAACAATTAAAACAATTAAAAACAACAATATATCACACAATCAATAGCCAATCTCAGACACAGCGTTCGCCAACTCAGAGTTCATATTTCGTTCCACCTTGTCCAACTCCTATCCATCGTCACAGTCCCTTATTCATCTGCCAGATTGCCCAAACGCCTGGTCCCACATCCATGTTTTTAATTTCTTTCTGAAGGAAAGGAGGGATGTTGCTGATCTAATTTCCCCGGGGAGTGAATTCCATAGGTGAGGGGCCACCACTGAGAAGGCCCTGCTCCTTGTCCCCGCCAATCTCACTTGTGACAGAGGCGGGGTCGAGAGCAGGGCCTCCCCAGAGGATCTCAGACTCCGAGATGGGACGTAAAGGGAGATGCGTTCGGACAGATACGCTGGGCCGGAATCGTATAGGGTTTTGTAGGTCAAAACCAGCACTTTGAATTGTGCTCGGAACTGGATCGGCAGCCAGTGGAGCTGACATAGCAGGGGGGTGGTATGCTCCCTGTATGACGCTCCGGTGAGCAATCTGGCTGCCTCCCGCTGGACTAATTGAAGTTTCCGAACAGTCTTCAAAGGCAACCCCACGTAGAGTGCGTTTATTTATTTATTTATTTATTTATTTACTCCATTTGTATACCGCATTTATCAGCCTGAGACGGCGACTCAATGCGGTTTACAATAAAAATGGCAACACTGAACAATATATAAGACGCACATACACAAACAACACACATAGTCATCGACGCCTCAATTAGAATCAGATCCCGTTCTCACAATCCTTTTTCCGTTCCTTGTTCCAATGCCGTCTTACTGAGTTAGTTGTCATTGCATAGTTATCCAAATGCCTGTTCATAGAGCCACGTCTTCACCCTCCTCCGAAACACCAGTAACGAAGGAGCCTGCCTGATGTCCACTGGTAGGGCATTCCATAGCCGAGGGGCCACCACCGAGAAGGCCCTGTCTCTCGTCCCCGCCAACCGCGCTTGTGACGCCGGCGGGACCGAGAGCAGGGCCTCCCCGGACGATCTTAAGGTCCTCGCCGGTTCATACGAACAGTCTTCAAAGGCAACCCCACGTAGAGTGCGTTGCAGTAATCTATCCGGGATGTAACAAGAGCGTGGACCACCGTGGCCAGATCCGACTTCCCAAGATACGGGCGCAGCTGGCGCACAAGTTTTAATTGTGCAAAAGCTCTCCCGGCCACCGCCGAGACCTGGGCTTCCAGGCTCAGCGATGAATCCAGGATCACTCCCAAGCTGCGAACCTGCGCCTTCAGGGGGAGTGTGACCCCGTCTAACACAGGCTGTAACCCTATACCCTGTTCGGCCTTACGACTGACCAGTAGGACCTCTGTCTTGTCTGGATTCAGTTTCAAAGAAAGGAAGAAAGAGAAAGTGGAGTGCAGGTGTGTAATTGCAACACAACAACTTGGGTTCTCTTTTTTTGCTGATGATCCCACAGCTTTAAAAAAAGCCTTACAAAACGTTGCCCCAAAAATCAGCCAAAATGGCAATTAGAAGTGATCACATATAACATATCCGGTGTCATTTCGGCTCCCTGATAAATTGTTATCAATGCTGACTAGAGTTTCCTAATATTCAATAAAAATTTCATGAAACATTGAATATTAGAACACTCTGGGGACCATGTTTGCATTAGCTGAAGAATCAGGCTTTTCCCATCGCAGAAGCAGAACCAAATGAAAGTAATGGAACTGAATGCACTCGTCCTTCCCCACTTCTGCATTAGTGGTTAAGATAACTAGGGAGGTATAGAAAATGTTTGCCAAAATGTCATATTTTCCATCCTTTTACAGATGACGCCAAGATATGTGTGGCTGAGCAATGTGAGAATGGGCTCAAATAGCAGAAGTTATTTTGAATGAGCAGAATAAGGAAGAAGCTCCAGGTCCAGATGGTAGGCCTGTGCGGTTTCGTTCGTTAATTCGTTATTAATTCGTTATTTTTGGCATTTCCGAAGCGATATCAAAACACATTTCCAAACCCGGAAGGGTTTTAAAATATCGAACCAGCAACCCCCATAGATTTAACGAGCTTCCGCTCGTTTCGTTAATGGGTGGAGGCTGCTGGAGTGCTGGTGCCTGGGAGCCAATCCGGCGCTCCCAAGCAGTGCACCGTGGGTCCGTGGCTGTTTGTTTTTGATTGGCCGGCGAGCCCTTTCAAAGCGGCTCCGCGCGGCCGTAGCTAGCTTGCTGCAGAGGGCGAGGGAGTTTGCATTGGGTTGGCTTGGCTGCTAGCAACTGGATTAATGGATTGGATTCATTCCTTGCTGCTGTGAGTGCTGCTTGCTTCATTTGCTGTCTCCTGCCTGTGTTTGGTCCACATTTGGGCCATTTTTTGGTTAATTTTCCATTTTAAAATATTTTTAATATTATTTTAATATTATTTTTTAATATTATTTTAATATTTTTTTTTTTCTTAAAAAATATTCTAAAAAAGAAAAGACTCTTCTGTTGGTGTGTGCTCTCATTTGCTGTATTGCCTGTGTTTGGTCCACATTTGGGCCATTTTTTGGTTAATTTTCCATTTTAAAATATTTTTTAATATTATTTTAATATTATTTTTTAATATTATTTTAATATTATTTTTAAAAAATATTCTAAAAAAGAAAAGACTCTTCTGTTGGTGTGTGCTCTCATTTGCTGTCTCCTGCCTGTGTTTGGTCCACATTTGGGCCATTTTTTGGTTAATTTTCCATTTTAAAATATTTTTTAATATTTTTTAATATTTTTTTAAGTTTTTTTGCCGTGCAGATCAGGTTGGTTAAAATATTTTTTAATATTATTTTAATATTATTCTTAAAAAATACCAAAAATATTCTAAAAATTCGTTAATATTTACGAAATTTCGTAAATACCAAAACTTTTTGGGGGAAAGTTTTGTAATTATTTTAAATATCGAAACAAAAAAACACCCCAATTACAAATCGATTTTAGAAACAAATTTTTTCTTGATCAAACAGGCCTACCAGATGGACTAATGCAGTTTGCTTTTGCCTCGATCTCCTGGAAAGGGGATGGTTCCATTTCCTCTGCTCAACTCTCAATTTGCAGCAAATTAAATATAACAAAGACAAATATGGAGGAAGAGAGACTTTTTTTAAGCTGAAAAAAGCAAAGGAATAATCAGGAACAGGAGGCGAATATGAACATTTGGGGCATCTTTGACCTGCACTCACTGCTATTTTTTCCTCTTCCTCCTTCCTCTTCTTGTCCTCCGCTGCCTTCTCTGTGGCCAATATTTTGTCTCTTTCTTGCTGCTCGTATTTGCTGTTCAGATCCCGTGGTGGCTTGACAGCATATTTCTTCGGCTTTTCTACGGCAGCTTCTTCGATGACCTACAGATCCAATTCACAGAAACAATAATACACACAGACAGATTGTTTTGAATCCTTCTACATCTTTCACCTTGGGATTCATCCAGACATTTGACAGTAGATGCTTCAATAATATAAAATGTTTCTGGACAGACACTTATTGTCCTGCATATATGTACTAGGAATGTGCAATCTGGCTAAACCCTATGCCGTTTCCAGTGTCTGGATTGCAGTGCCCCCCCCCCCCGATGCATTTTTGGGAGCCTCCCAAATTCAGGTGGGGAAAATCCGACCCATTGGTGGCAATGGAGGAACTTCCCAGGCTCCCCTTTCCAACATGTATTGATAACTGTTGTGTCAGCTCCACTGGCTGCCGATCCAGTTCCGAGCACAATTCAAGGTGCTGGTTTTGACCTACAAAACCCTATACGGTTCCGGCCCAGTGTATCTGTCCGAACGGATCTCCCTCTACGTCCCACCCCGGAGTCTAAGATCTTCTGGGGAGGCCCTGCTCTCGACCCCGCCTCTATCACAAGTGAGATTGGCGGGGACGAGGAGCAGGGCCTTCTCGGTGGTGGCCCCCCACCTGTGGAATTCACTCCCCGGGGAAATTAGATCAGCGACATCCCTCCTTTCCTTCAGGAAAAAACTGAAAACATGGATTTGGGACCAGGCATTCGGACAATCGGGCAGATAAAGAAAGGACTTTGACAAGGGACAGGAATTGACTAATGGAATGGAATTTGGAACTCTGAAAGACGAACGCTGACCATGAGAATAGTTTTATTGATGTGTTATATACTGATTGTTTTTAACTGTGATAATTGTTTTAACTATGGTTTTATATGTTATGTGTATGTTGTGCAGGCATCAAATTGTGCCTTTCTGTAAGCCACCCTGAGTCCCCCCTCGGGGGTTGAGAAGGGTGAGGTTGAAGTACCCGAAATAAAATAAATAAATTAAAAAAAAATAAAAACCACTCTTTCTGGCTTCATTTATCCTCAAATCCTTCAATAAGACTTGGGTTTAAGGCATCAGACTTAAGGAACCACCCTTTCTGGGATCCTTTCTCCTTCTCTATCCTTCAATAACACTTAGGTTTAAGGCATCAGGCATAGTTTCTCCCCAACACCTTTTCAGTGAAGCCAAGTCAAACACTTATTTCAGTGGGAGCCACACCACATAAAGGAGCATTAGCCAGCCTTTTAAAAAGACATAAATTACCTCCTCATTTTTTGGTGGCTTTAGAAATTGCAACAGTCAGAACTGACCATGGAACAACAGAATGGTTCAAGATTGGGAAAGGCATCCAGCAGGGTTATATCCTCTCCCCCAACCTATTCAACTTGTATGCAGAACACATCATGCAATGTGCGGGGCTTGAGGAATGCAAGGCTGGGGTGAAAATTGCTGGAAGAGACATTAACAACGTTAGATATGCAGATGACACCACTTTGATGGCCGAAAGTCGAGGAGGAGCTGAGGAGCCTTCTAATCAAGGTGAAAGAAGAAAGCGCAAAATCTGGGTTGCAGCTAGACAAAAAAACCAAGATTATGGCAACAAGAATGATTGACAACTGGGAAATAGAGGGAGAAAACGTGGAGGCCGTGACAGACTTTGTATTTCTCAGTGCAAAGATGAGTGCAGATGCAGACTGTGGCCAGGAAATCAGGAGACGCTTCCTTCTTGGGAGGAGAGCAATGTCCAATCTTGATAAAATAGTAAAGAGTAGAGACTAGGCCTGGGTAACAACGGAAAAATTTGTTTCTAAAATCGATTTGTATTTGGGGGTTTTTTTTGTTTCGATATTTAAAATAATTACAAAATTTTCCTTTTAAAAAGTTCGATATTTACGAAATTTCGTAAATGGTAAAAAATTAACGAATCGATTTCGAAACAATAACGAATCGATTCGTTAATGGCGGACGCGACCGCGAAATACGCTAAAAAACCTCCAAAACCTTCTGAAGCTTCCCTCTCCCTCTGTTGTTGACTGTTGGTGTGATATTATAATTTTTTTTCACTAATTAAACCATAAACTGGCCCAGACATGCGGAAATAATAACGAAACGACCTCAAAACAATAACGAAAAGAATACAATATCGAAATACGAAGCATTTACAAAACGTTTTTGAAAATTCGTTTTTTTAATAATTGCTCCAGAATGGTTCGTTATCGTTTTGTAATTGAAAAAATTAACGAATTATTAACGAATTACGAATTAACGAAACGAAACCACCCAGCCCTAGTAGAGACATCACACTGGCAACCAAGATCCGCATAGTATTCCCCATAGACACCTACGGATGTGAGAGCTGGACCATAAGGAAGACTGAGCAAAGGAAGAGAGATGCTTTTGAACTGTGGTGGTTGGAGGAAAGTGCTGAGAGTGCCTTGGACCGCGAGAAGATCCAACCAGTCCATCCTCCAAGAAAGAAAGCCCGACTGCTCACTGGAGGGAAGGATAGTAGAGGCCAAGATGAATTCCTTTGGCCACATCATGAGAAGACATGAAAGCTTGGAGAACGATGCTCAGGAAAATGGAAGGGAAAAGGAAGAGGGGCCGACCAAGGGCAAGATGGATGGATGGCATCCTTTGTTGCAACCCAGAGCAGAAAACGAGGCCCCAAGATAACTATCCACCACACTTGACTGTGAAAAAACAATCCTTTTTTATTGATGAAAAATGGTTACAAAATAAAGGGAAAATGCAAAGTCAAAAGCCACAGCAAAATCAGCAAACATGAATGTCCATGAACAAGATCAAAACCCAAAGCCACACTGTAAAATACTGGAACCTGTTAGCAATCCAATAACCGTACTTGGTGTCCTAGAAATCTTTCAAGACGATGGCCAGGGAAACCGGGAGAACTGCCAAGGTCTTCATCAATCTAAAATGATGCCTGAACTGAGAAAGTCAGCCCGGCGGAAGGCACTTAAAGCCGAGGAATTGGTTTCGTGATACGCCTCCCTGCTTTGAAGCCCTTGTTTGTTTTTCTTTTAATCTCGAAGACCTTCGCAAGCTGAGTGATTCACTCCTGTCTTGCCAGATCTGGCCCCTTCTATTCTCATTAAGGTTCCCAGGTGCAGAAGGGAGTGAAAGGTCATGGCTTCCCTCTGAAACATTCTCATGAACACTGGTACTTTCATTTTCCAAATCTACAGAAGTTTCTTCCTCACTAATTTCAGGAGCATTGTCACTAATTTCAGGATCATTGACATCAGGAAGTACATTTTCATTAGCATCCGTACATATATTTTCATTAGCATCAGGAGGTACAAACAGAGAATCAGGTTCAAACTCAGGCTGAACCCCAACATCCTTGAAGTGACTGAATTGACCTTGAAGGAGCTGGGGGTGGTCCAAGGAGCTCTGGCATGGGCTGGTCCATGAGGTCACAAAGAGTTGGAAGTGACTGAAGGAATGAACAGCAACAATTAGAAATGGCAGGATACCTCTACCCCACATTTGAAGCTTGTGTGGTGTAAAGGGCACCAGCAGTGGCAGTTTCTTAAGTGTGTAGAATGCAAAAACTTATTTATTGCTATTCGAGTCAAAAATCAAGGAAAGGGATGCAGAGCTGCAAGTGGAACTGAGGATTTAGATCACCAGTGGACTGGAGCACGATCAGTCTCTCTCAGAAGCCTGCTCACAACATAAAAACAGAGGCCTAGCTTGGCTAATTGACACGTCATGGCTTTCTTCTGTTCTGATGGACTCAACAGGCAGGGCTCACATGGAAATCCCATGCTGGTTTGTGGCTGCCACTCAGTTCCATGCGTAGCAGAATGAAACTGAAAGTAACCATGATAGGCAGCCATGTGGCCAGAAAAAAATGGTGGCAGTGCACATACCATTAAGGTAAAGGTAAAGGTAGTCCCCTGACATTAAGTCCAGTCATGTCTGACTCTGGGGTGTGGTGCTCATCTCCATTTCTAAGCCGAAGAGCCAGCGTTGTCCGTAGACACCTCCAAGGTCATGTGGCCGGCATGACTGCATGGAGCGCCGTTACCTTCCCGCCGGAGCGGTACCTATTGATCTACTCACATTTGCATGTTTTCGAACTGCTAGGTTGGCAGAAGCTAGGGCTGACAGCGGAAGCTCACGCCGCTCCCCGGAATCGAACCTGCGACCTTTTGATCAACAAGCTCAGCAGCTCAGTGCTTTAACCCACTGCGCCACCGGGGGCTCCCGCACACAGCCCTATATCCCAAAAGAGCCAAACCAACTAGAGCCCGTTTTGAAAAATGGATCTGTACACAGCCCTAATATATACCTAGTACCATCTGAATACCCTAAAGGCATCAGATCCCATCTTGTCTCAAAAGCTAAGCAGGGTCAGCCTCGGTTAGCACTTGGATGGGAGAACCAATGAATTGAGAATGCCGTCAGCTGTATTTCAAAACACGTGATAACCCTAGGAAATTTATGGGATTGCAATAAGCCAACAGGCAACTTGGAGGCACAACCAACCTTGGTCCCTTTCCCCCTGCAGAATATAATTTCTGGAACATGAGAAAGGTGCCTTTTTGAACCTTCTCCAATCCCAGAAGGACTACAATGAATGCCAGTTGCTACAGGCTCTTTCATAAGAAGAAGAAACCAGAGAAACCACCTCTGAACACTCCATACTTAAAAATACCCCTGCAAAATAAATGGCATCACCTTGAATCCATAGGTGACTTGAATGCACATAAACACAAACACATATAGGACCGGGTTGTGGCACAGCTGGTTGGGAGTCAGCTACATTAAAATCACTACTGACCAAAAGGTCATGAGTTTGAAGCTAGCCCAGGTCAGAGTAAGCTCCCGACCATTTGTCTAGCTTGCTGTCGACCTTTGCAGCCCGAAAGACAGTTGCATCTGTCAAGTAGGAAATTTAGGTACCGCTTATGGGGGAGGCTAATTTAACTAATGTACGAAACCATAAAATCTCCAGCAAGCAAGCAAAAGAATGAGGAACTACTCCATCAGTGTCACAAATGGACAGTGAAGCGACAGCTCCCCTGGTGGCCAGAATACCCTCATGAAAAAGCTGGAATATTAAATAGCCTCTGTGTGTCTGTCTATATATGTTGTGTGTGTCTATGGCATTGAATGTTTGCCATGTATATGTGCATTGTGATCCGCCCTGAGTCCCCTGCGGGGTGAGAAGGGCGGAATATAAATACGGTAAATCAATAAATAATACCTTTACATTTTCCTTAAGAGTCAAACCTGTGCTGTTGCTGACCCCTAGTGGATTCTTGCTGTCATCTATTTTAAAATCAGGAGAAGACATAAGGCTTGTATTAAGGTTTGCTCCTGCAATATATGGAGCAACAGTTGCCAGAACTACAAGCTGGGTTTAGAAAATGCAGAGGAACAAGAGACCAAATTATCCGCTGGATAATGGAGAAAGGCAGGGAGTTTCAGAAAAACATCTATTTCTGTTTTATTGACTATTCTAAAGCCTTTGACTGTGTGGATTGTAATAAATTGTGGCAAGTTCTTGGTGGGATGGACATACCAAGCCACCTTGTCTCTCCCCTGAGGAATCTGTACAAGGACCAAGTAGCAACCAAGTAGAACTAACCATGGAACAACAGACTGGTTCCAGATTGGGAAAGGCATATGGTAGGGTTGTATCCTCTCCCCCAACCTATTCAACTTGTATGCAGAACACACAGGGGCGGCTCATCCATTACGCGAAGTAAGCGGTCGCAGAACACTTTTTTTGCCAGGGGCGCAGAGGTGCCTCTGTAAATGCCCCTCGACCGCCACTTGAGGAGCGCCCCCTCAGCTCACGATAGCCCTAGCAGTCCGGGGGGAGCCTCGGCTTTCTTGCCTCGCTGCCAGGTGATCCTCTTCCCAAAGGGGCCCTTGAGCCTCGCCTAGCCCCTCTCGTTCCTGCTCCACCCAGCCACCGGGTGCGCGAGCAGAGCCGGCGCTCAATCATTCGATCCCTTCCCCATGACCGGCTCCCTTTCCCGATCCCCCGGTGCTCCACCCGCCTCCTCTCCTCTCCCCAATCCGCGGGTGGGCCAAGGGGCGGAGCCGCCGCGCCTGGCCCGCTTCGGGTCCGGAGGCGTGTCTGAAGACCTCAGCGTGCGCACCAAAAGTCGCCTCTTCTCCTGACTTTCTCTTCAGCCATTGGGACCAAGAGAGAGAGAGAGAGAGAGAGCCCCTCCGGCTGGAGGTATCTCCCACCTCCGCTCCCTCCTTTGTTTTTGCGCCTACCTTCAGGAAAGGTGGGCATCTCCACCTCTCTCTCTCTCTTGGTCCCAATGGCTGAGGAGAAAGTCAGGAGAAGAGGTGACTTTTGGTGCACACGCCGGGGTCTTCAGGCACGCCTCCGGACCCAAAGTGGGCCAGGCAAGGGAGCAAGTGCGGCAAGTGTAGTTACTGGGATGTATAGTTCACCTACAATCAAAGAGCATTCTGAACTCCACCAATGATGGAATTGAACCAAATATGGCACACAGAACTTCCACGACAAACAGAAAATATATATCAATGATTGGTTGGGGGGGGGGGCGCCAAAATACTGTTTGCTTACCATTGAAAATTACCTAGGGCCGCTCTGCGAACACATCATGCGATGTGGGGGCGAGAAATGCAAGGCTGGGGTGAAAATTGCTGGAAGAAACATTAACAACCTCAGATATGCAGATGACACCACTCTGATGGCCGAAAGCGAGGAGGAGCTGAGGACCCTTCTAATCAAGGTGAAAGAAGAAAGCGCAAAAGCTGGGTTGCAGCTAAACATAAAAAAAAAACAAAAAAAACCAAGATTATGGCAACAAGAATGATTGACAACTGGAAAATAGAGGGAGAAAATGAGGAGGCCGTGACAGACTTTGTATTTCTAGGCGCAAAGATGAGTGCAGACGCAGACTGAGGCCAGGAAATCAGAAGACGCTTCCTTCTTGGGAGGAGAGCAAGGACCCATCTCGACAAAATAGTGAAGAGTAGAGACATCACACTGGTGACAAAGATCCGCCTACTCAAAGCAATGGTATTACCCATAATCACCTACGGATGTGAGAGCTGGACCAGAGGGAAGGCTGAGCGAAGGAAGAGAGACGCTTTTGTGGTGCTGGAGGAAAGTTCTGAGAGTGCCTTGGACTGCCAGAAGATCCGACCAGTCCATACTTCAGGAAAGAAAGCCCGATTGCTCATTGGAGGGAAGGATAGTAGAGGCCAAGATGAAGTACTTTGGCCACATCATGAGAAGACAGGAAAGCTTGGAGAAGACAATTATGCTGGGGAAAATGGAAGGAAAAAGGAAGAGGGGCCGACCAAGGGCAAGGTGGATGGATGGCATTCTTGGAGTGACTGGGTTGACCTTGAAGGAGCTGAGGGGGTGACGGCCGACAGGGAGCTCTGGCGCGGGATGGTCCATGAGGTCACAAAGAGTCGGAAACAACTGAACGAATGAACAAAAAACGTTTGCTTAGTATATTTCCCTGTAGATACCTTAACCCACAGACAGTAGCAAGGATACACAGCCCCACAAAAACAAATTCATTTTCTCGGTTTTTGGAACTATTCCTGGATTTATTTGGCGCACTGATTCAAAAAACTGCATCAGATCTGCTCTAGTTTCTTAGGCTGCCATATAATTCATATTATCAACATAGATAATCCAGATTATCTGCTTTGAACTGGATTATATGAGTCTACATGGCCATACAATACAATTCAAAGCGTATGATCTGGATTTGATTTGGTAGTGTCGACGAGGCTTTGGATAGGATTATCACAGTTATCAGAAGGCAACTAGTAGATGGGATATGTTCTGTATCTCAAAAGCTAGAGTTGATAGGGGGAAACAGGTGCCATTTTTGGAACACTGACCAAAAATAAGGCTAACATTTGGGGCATCAAAATGTGACCTGGGCAGTGATATCAGTTGTATTTCAATTACCAAAGAGAGAGCGAGAGAGAGAGCATTTCAAGATTTGCTGCCTAAACAAAGCTTTATAAAGTTATTGACAGATGTACAAAATTTTCCAGCTGGTGTGACCACTGGTGTGGTGATATTGGGAAGTGTCCAGAAAGTACGGGGAAACTCCAAACAGCAAGCATTCATGGGCCAGTTAACACCTCCCAAACAGAAGATGCCTCCAGGCAACAGGAGACAGGCTACCTCTAAACAGATATTCTCATTGATTAACTTTGGAGCTTCATGGCTACTCGATACTATTCAAGCTTGCTAATTGCAACATTCACACTTGATTCAAACAGGCAAGGGTTCTGCCTTGCTGTAAGTTTTTCGGGCTGTATGTAAACATGGCCATAAAGCCTGAAAAACTTACAGCAACTCAGTCATTCTGGTCATGAAAGCCTTCAACAAGACAAGGGTTCTTTCTCCTACCCTGGAGATTATTCCACAGATATAGATATAGATATAGATACACACACTCCACTTGCCTCACTGCAAACAGAACCTCTGAAGATGCCAATAGCCACAGATGCAGGTGAAACATCAGGAGAGAATGCTGCTGGAACATGGCCATACAGCCCGAAAAACTCACAGCAATCCAGTCCAAAAAGTAGTCCCATAAACTCTGTTCGGATCCTATTCTATCTCTTCCTCCTCCTTACCCATTGGGCATACCATTGTCCCTGGGGTCTCACCTCTTCCGATTTCTTCAGGAGAGGGCACACCTCTCTGGACTCATCCATCATGCAGATCTCCCGGGTGGCATAGCCATTCACGCAATAGGCGTCGTACCCGGCGCCGATCAGCAAGGAGCAGAGGAGGACGCTGAAGTCGAAGCAGTTGCCCCGCTGGTAGCGCAGGATGGTGGTCGGGGAATAGAGGTAACTGGGCTGCGGAGGAGAGCATCAAAGAATGAGAAGGGTCCCTCTGAGGACATCTAGTCCAATGAAGTTTCTGGTGTAGAACAATGACTTTCAAAGTAAGGGTCACACAATTAAATCAGAAATAACACAGATTTTTTTTCCAATTTTGTTACATAGGGTGGTATTTGTAGTTCACCTACATCCAGGAGTTGTAGTTCACCTACATCCAGAGAGCACTGTGGACACATTACCCCATGACCAACAGAAAAAAAAACTGAGTTTCCTGATGGTCTTTGGCGACCCCTATGACACTCCTTCACGACCCCCCGAGGGGTCCCGACCCCCAGGTTGAGAAACACTGCTATAAAGGAATATATCATCCACATACGTAACCCAGAACCACTTTGAGTCTCCACTGTGGAGAGAAAAAGAGGGATATAAATAAAGATGATATTAATAATATTAATAATATTATTAATATTAATAATGTTAATAATATTAATATTATTAATAATATTAATAATATTAATAATAATAATAATATTAATAATTGTAGTCATTGATAATAATGTTAAATCATATATCGCTTTTATTGCATTAGTAAATTTATCTCCCATGTCCAGTTCTTGTATTAATATCTTAAAGAAATCACAATTTAGGTTATCAAAAGCCTTCTCTGCGTCCAAGGCTAGTATGGCAAATTCTTTTTGATGATTCTGTTCATAATAATGATAATAATGTTGAAGAGGACTGGACCCTGTGATGTTCTACTTGAGACTTCTCTCCAGTTTGATGCCAATGGTTTAGCCTCACATCTGTCCAATTATTCCTTCCCATTTGCATCCATTCTAAAACACTCTCAGCTAGCTTACAGCGACTGGAAAAAAGACTGAGAACTAAATAGTTCTTCTAAAGGTCCTATTTTCTTACCGGTGCTATGGGTGATGGAAGGGGCTCCATGGTGAGATAGTCCGACACGAAGCGGGCGCAGCCATCCCAATTGTACAACTCTGAGTAGAGCAGCAGAGTCGGGCGCACCGTCGTACTCACAAATTTCTGCCAAAATAATAAAAGGCATCAGTTTGTGACTTGTAAGCCAATTTAGTAGGGATGTGCAAAATTCCAGACAGGAGAGAATCAGGGCCAGCGAACACCTCCCAACAAAGGATTCTGTTGGGGTTCAGCCTGGGTGTGAACCTGAACCTGCTTCTCTGATTGTATTTCCTGATACTACTGAAAATGTATTTTCTGATGCTCCTGATGCTAATGAAAATGTTGATTCTGAGGTCAGTGTAGAAGAAACTCCTGCAGGCTTGGAAGGGTTGGAAAGTGAAAGTACACAATCTCCTGAGAATGTTTCAGGGTCAAGCGGTGATAGCTCTCCAGAGAGGCTTACACCTGGGATCCTTAATGAGGATAGAAGAGGACAGATTTGGAGAAACAGGAGTGAATCGCAGAGTCTGTGAAGGTCAAGCAGATTAAAAGAAAAAGAAACAAGGGCTTCAAAGCCTGGAGGCGTGTCATGAAACAGTTTCCTCGGCTTTAAGTGCCTCTCGCCGGGTTGACTCTTTAGATCAGGCATCGTTTTAGACTGAGGCATTACCTTGGCAGATCTCCCGTTTCCCGTGGCCTTCATCCCAAGAGGCTTCTAGTGCTCCAAGTACGGTTAGTGGATTGCTAACAGGTTCCAGGATTTTACAGTGTTGCTTTTGGTTTTTGATCTAGTTCATGGATATTTGTGATTGCTGATTTTTACTGTGGCTTTTTGACTTTGCATTTTCCTCTATTTTGTAACCATTTTTCATCAATAAAAAGGGATTGTTTTTCCCACAGTCAAGTGTGGGGGATTGTTATCTTAGGGTCTCGTTTCCTGCTCTGGGTTGCAACAGATTCCCCCAGGCAGGAAACAGCCAGGCTTTGAAGCTGCAAGGGCATTTAAGGTGGCCAACTGCAACATTCACACTTGCAACCAACAGACAAGAGTTCTTTTTCCCACCCTGGACATCATTCCACAAGTAAATAATAATAATAATAATAATCATCATCATCATCATCATCATCATCTTTATTTGTACCCTGCCACCATCTCCCCAGTGGGGACTCGGGGTGGCTTACATGGGACCAAGCCCAAAAACACAGCAACACAGGCATGTAGCCGGGGGGGGGGGGGCTTGAGGGGCTTCAGCCCCCCCCCCCCGAAATTCTCATGGTGGTTCGCTAAAAGGCCTTACTGGTGCATTATTTAAACTGTTATGTTTATTCATATCATGATCTGATCACCATACTCAATATATCCCATATGCATGGGGGTATTGGGGTAATGATACAAAAGGTTTGCTAGGCTAGACCCTCTTTCACTCAGACTCAGCCCCCCCCCCCGAAACTCAGCCCCCCCGAAACCCCCCTGAAAAAAATTTCAGCCCCCCCCCCAAACGAAATCCTGGCTACGGGCCTGCAGCAACAAAATTAAATCATCAGGGACATCTAATCTCAACAAAAGATTGCCCCAGGCACTGCCAGGCCATCAAATGCTAATCAAGGTGGTCAGTTGAAACATTCACACCTAGCTCCAGCAGACAAGAGTCCTTGTCCCACCCTGGTCATTCCACAGATATATAAACCCTTTTTCCTAGTTCCAACAGACCTCACTACCTCTGAGGATGCTTGCCATAGATGCAGGCGAAACGCCAGGAGAGAATGCCTCTAGACCATGGCCATATAGCCCGAAAAAAAACCTACAACAACCCAGCAACATAATCAATTACATAAAACATATACTATAAGAATATTACAACCAATATACAGTAAAATAAAACCATTCAAGACGCAAAACAATATAAACCCCACTTGCCTAGCTTCCAAGAGACCTCACAACCTCTGAGGATGCCTGCTATAGATGTGGGTGAAACGTCACGAGATAATGCTTCTGGAACATAGCCATATAGCTTTGAGAACTCAGAGCAACCCAGTGATTCTGGCCAGGAAAGCCTTCGACAACACAATTAATCTATTATCCCCAATTTTTCCTTCCCTTTTCCCTCCATCTCTTCCTTCCCTAGTAAACGTGTAATAAAAACTATTTTGGGTGGGGAAAGACCTTATATCAGCTCCATCCACTCACTTACTTCCACGCCACATTCGTTTATGGGGTGGAGGAAGAGCGGCTCACGGTCCGGGCAGAGGTGGGCATACTGGCGGTGAAAGTTGTCGGCCACTTGCAAGACCAGCTGCTCCTTGGGCGTATTGGTCCGGTAAGACTCCGGGAGGTTGGAGGTGTCCACGGATTTCCAGTCAAACTCACTGTGCAAAGAAAGGGAGAAAGAAGGCAATGCAGAAGATGCAACGCAATCAAATCACTCCTGGCAGATGGCCATCCAGCCATACTGGAATACTAGCTCTAGAGAGAAGGCTGAGAGGAGACATGATGGCCTACAACTCCTGGCTCGAGAGCAGTATGTGTGAAAAAGATCAAGGGTCTGGAGAACAAGCCCTATGAAGAGCGGCTTAAAGAGCTGGGCATGTCTAGCCTGAAGAAGAGAAGGCTGAGAGGAGACATGATGGCCTACAACTCCTGGCTCGAGAGCAGTATGTGTGAAAAAGATCAAGGGTCTGGAGAACAAGCCCTATGAAGAGCGGCTTAAAGAGCTGGGCATGTCTAGCCTGAAGAAGAGAAGGCTGAGAGGAGACATGATGGCCTACAACTCCTGGCTTGAGAGCAGTACGTGTGAAAAGGATCTTGGAGTCCTCGTGGACAATAAGTTAAACATGAGCCAACGGCCGGAAAAACGAAATGCAGAGATACAAAATGGGGCACAATGCCTGGCTCGAGAGCAGTACGTGTGAAAAAGATCTTGGAGTCCTCGTGGACAACAAGTTAAACATGAGCCAACAATGTGATGTGGCGGCAAAAAAAGCCAATGGGATTTTGGCCTCTCTCGTGTTAGAGCTAGGGAAGTCATGCTCCCCATGCTCTATTCCGCCTTGGTTAGACCACACCTGGAATATTGTGTCCAATTCTGGGCACCACAATTGAAGAGAGATATTGACAAGCTGGAATGTGTCCAGAGGAGGGTGACTAAAATGATCAAGGGTCTGGAGAACAAGCCCTATGAGGAGCGGCTTAAAGAGCTGGGCATGTTTAGCCTGAAGAAGAGAAGGCTGAGAGGAGAATTTTACAATGCTTGGCATAATAGCAGTACATGTGAAAAAGATCTTGGGGTCCTTGTGGGGAGGAAAGTTAAACATGAGCCAACAATGTGATGTGGCAGCTAAAAAAGCCAATGGGATTTTGGCCTGCATCAATAGGACTAGATCTAGGGAAGTAATGCTACCCCTCTATTCCGCTTTGGTTAGACCACACCTGGAATATTGTGTCCAATTCTGGGCACCACAATTGAAGAGAGATATTGACAAGCTGGAATGTGTCCAGAGGAGGGTGACTCAAATGATCAAGGGTCTGGAGAACAAGCCCTATGAGGAGCGGCTTAAGGAGCTGGGCATGTTTACCCTTCAGAAAAGAAGGCTGAGAGGAGACATGATGGCCTACAACTCCTGGCTCGAGAGCAGTACGTGTGAAAAGGATCTTGGAGTCCTCGTGGACAATAAGTTAAACATGAGCCAACAATGTAATGCTGATGCGAAAAAGGCCAACAGGATTTTGGCCTCTATAGTGTCTAGATCAGGGGTAGGGAACCTTTGGCCCTCCAGCTGTGGTGGACTTCAACTCCCACAATTCCTTGAGGCTCGGCATTCGCCCCAAAGGCTTACCTTGGCCCAATGCCGAGCCTCAAGGAATTGTGGGAGTTGAAGTCCACCACAGCTGGAGGGCCAAAGGTTCCCTACCCCTGGTCTAGATCCAGAGAAGTCATGCTCCCCATGCTCTATTCTGCCTTGGTTAGACCACACCTGGAATATTGTGTCCAATTCTGGGCACCACATTGAAGAGAGATAGTAACAAGCTGGAATGTGTCCAGAGGAGGGCGACTAAAATGATCAAGGGTCTGGAGAACAAGCCCTATGAGGAGCGGCTTAAAGAGCTGGGCATGTTTAGCCTGAAGAAGAGAAGGCTGAGAGGAGACATGATAGCCATGTATAAATATGTGAGAGGAAATCATAGGGAGGAGGGAGCAAGCTTGTTTTCTGCTTCCCTGGAGACTAGGACGCAATGGAGCAATGGCTTCAAACTACAAGAAAGGAGATTCCGTCTGAACATGAGGAAGAACTTCCTGACTGTGAGAGCTGTTCTTAGCAAATTTTCTGCAAATGCATGCCATTTATGACTTCAAAACTTTTTAAAAATCTTTTGGAATGAACTATTCAAAGTAGAACCAGCAGGTGGAGGGTTTGCCTTGGCCATCTAAACCTTCCTAATGCCTCGACCCCTTAATCCGGTTCCTCGTGTTGCGATGACGCTCAAACATAACATTATTATCGTTGCTACTTCATCACTGTCATTTTGCTCCTGTTATGAATCGTCATGTAAAGATCAGATATGTAGGATGTCTTTTCATTCACTGGACCAAATTTGGCACAAATACCCCATACACCCAAATTTGAATAATGGTGGGGTTAGGTGGAGATTGATTTTGTCATTTGGGAGTTGTAGTTGCTGGGATTTATAGTTCACCTACAATCAAAGAGCATTCTGAACTCCAGCAATGATGGAATTGAACCAATATTGGCACACAGAACTCCCATGACCAGCAAAAAAGACTGGAAGGGTTTAGTGGGCATTGACCTTGAGTTTTGGAGTTGTAGTTCACCTGCATCCAGAGAGCACTGTGGACTCAAACAATGATGGATCTGGACCAAACTTGGCACGAATATACCATATGCCCAAATATGAACACAGATGAGTTGGGAAAAATAGACCTTATTGGGAGTTGTAGTTGCTGGGATTTATAGTTCACCTACAATCAAAGAGCATTTGAACTCCACCAATGATGGAACTGAACCAAACTTGGCACACAGAACTCCCATGACCAACAGAAAAAACTGGAAGGGTTTGGTGGGCATTGACCTTGAGTTTGGGAGTTGTAGTTCACCTACATCCAGAGAGCACTGTGGACTCAAACAATGATGGATCTGGACCAAACTGGCACGAACCCTCACTATGCCCAAATGAACACTGGTGGAGTTTGAGCAAAATAGGCCTTGACATTTGGGAGTTGTAGTTGCTGGGATTTATAGTTCACCTACAATCAAAGAGCATCTTGAACTCCATCAATGATGGAATTGAACCAATCTTGGCACACAGGACTCCCCTGACCAACAGAACACACTAGAAAGGTTTGGTGGGCCTTGAGTTTGGGAGTTGTAGTTCACCTACATCCAGAGAGCACTTGGACTCAAACAATGATGGATCTGGACCAAACTTGGCACAAATACTCAATATGCCCAAATGTGAATATTGGTGGATTTTGGGGGAAATAGACCTTGAGATTTGGGAGTTGCTGCTGCTGGGAGTTATAGTTCACCTACCATAAAACAACAAATAAAAGGTGAAAGAAGGAAGGAGGGAGAGAGGGAAGGAAGAAGAGAAGGGATAAAAAGAGAGAAAGAGGGAGGGAAGTAAAGAAGAAAGAAAGAAGAAAAAGGAAAGAGGAAGGAAGGAAAAAGCAAAGGAAGGGAGGAAAGAAAAGGTAGAGAAGGAAGAAGAAGGGAAAGGGAGAAAAGAAAAGAGGAAGGAAGGAGAAGGAAGGAAGGAGAAGGAAGGAAGGAAGGAAGGAAGGAAGGAAGGAAGGAGGAAGGAAGGAAGGAAGGAAGGAAGGAAGGAGAGAAGGAAAAAAAGTGAAAGAAAGAAGGAAGGAGAGAAGGGATAAAAAGAGAGAAGAGGGAGGGAAGGAAGAAGGAAAGAAGAAAGAAAGAAAGAAAGAGGATGGAAGAAAGAGAAGGAAGGGGAAAGAAACAGAGAAAGGAAGAAAGAAGAAGGAAAGAAAGGGAAGAAAAGGGAAGGAAGAAGAAGGAAGGAGAGGAAGGAGGAAGGAAGAAAGGAAGGAAGGAGAAAAGGAGAGAGAAGGAAGGAAGGAGGGAAGGAAAGAAGAAGAAGGAAGGAAGGAAGGAAGGAAGGAAGGAAGGAAGGAAGGAAGGAAGGAGAGAAGGAAATAAAAAGTGAAAGAAGGAAGGTGGGAGAGAGGGAAGGAAGGAGAGAAGGGATAAAAAAGAGAAAGAGGGAGGAAAGGAAAGAAGGAAAGGAAAGGAAAGAAAGAAAGAAAGTAGGATGGAACCAAAGAGCAAAGGAAGGGAGGAAAGAAACAGGTAGAGAAGGAAGAAAGAAGGGAAAGAGGAAAGAAAAGAAACAGAGGGAAGGAAGGAAGGAGAAGGAAGGAAGGAAGGAAGGAAGGAAGGAAGGAGAGAAGGAAATAAAAAGTGAAGGAAGGAAAGAGAGACGGAAGGAAGGAGAGAAGGAACGAAAGAGAGAAAGAGGAAGGGAAGGAAGGAAGGTAGAGAAGGAAGAGAAAGAGGGAGGGAAGGAAAGAAAGAAAGAAAGAAAGAAAGAAAGAAAGAAAGAAAGAAAGTAGGATGGAACCAAAGAGCAAAGGAAGGGAGGAAAGAAACAGGTAGAGAAGGAAGAAAGAAGAAGGGAAAGAGGAAGGAAGAAAAAGAGGGAAGGAAGGAAGGAAGGAAGGAAGGAAGGAAGGAAGGAAGGAAGGAAGGAAGGAAGGAGAGAAGGAGAGAAGGAAATAAAAAGTGAAAGAAGGAAGGTGGGAGAGAGGGAAGGAAGGAGAGAAGGGATAAAAAAGAGAAAGAGGGAGGGAAGGAAAGAAAGAAAGAAAGAAAGAAAGAAAGAAAGAAAGAAAGAAAGAAAGAAAGAAAGTAGGATGGAACCAAAGAGCAAAGGAAGGGAGGAAAGAAACAGGTAGAGAAGGAAGAAAGAAGAAGGGAAAGAGGAAGGAAAAGAAAAAGAGGGAAGGAAGGAGAAGGAAGGAAGGAAGGAAGGAAGGAAGGAAGGAAGGAAGGAAGGAAGGAAGGAGAAAGGAGGGAGAGAAGGAGGGAAGGAAAGAAGAAAAGAAGGAAGGAAGGAAGGAAGGAAGGAAGGAAGGAAGGAAGGAAGGAAGGAAGGAGAGAAGGAAATAAAAAGTGAAAGAAGGAAGGAGAGAGGGGGGGAAAGGAAGGAGAGAAGGGAAAAAGAGAAAGAGGGAGAGAAGGAAGGAAAGAGAGAAGGTAGGATGGAACCAAAGAGCAAAGGAAGGGAGGAAAGAAACAGGTAGAGAAGGAAGAAAGAAGAAGGGAAAGAGGAAGGAAAAGAAAAAGAGGGAAGGAAGGAAGGAAGGAAGGAAGGAAGGAAGGAAGGAAGGAAGGAAGGAAGGAAGGAAGGAAGGAGAGAAAGAGGGAGGGAAGGTTGGTCACAGCAACGCGTGGTGTGTACAGCTAGTTTAACATAGTTTCTGCCACAGAAACAAAGTTTCTGGAGTAGAACAACTACTTTCAAAGTAAGGACCACACCATTAAACAGGAAACAATGCTTTCAAAGCAGGAACAGAAACTTTTCGAATATAGTTACATAATGCAATCCTCCCTCCTTTTCCTCCTTCCTCCTTACTATAAAACTTCAGGGATATGGACTTGGATCTGGGAGAGCTGCTCCTCCAAGTCTTGGACTTCATCGCTGAGATTGAACGAACTCAGCTCATCGTCTTCCTCCTCCTCCTCCTCTTCTTCTCCTTGGAGTCCGTAGCTTTCTTCGCTTGTATCCATTTCGCTGCCGGTCCTTTGCAAAACCTAGGGAGCGAAAGCCTGTAGGAACCAAAGGAAGGGGTGTCTTGTCATATATTTGAATATTTTGATGTTTTAAGGATGCAACAGGTGTGTTTATTTACTAGCCACCCCCTGCCACGCGTTGCTGTGGCCCAATCTGTGTATATGTGCTTTGTGTGTATATTAGGCTTGGGCGATCCAGTTCGTTAATTTCGTAATTCGTTATTAATTCGTATTTAAATTAGCTTACGATCCAATATCGAACCATGCAGGAATAGTGTGAGGAGTAATTAAGAATTGAAACAATTTCTCCAATTTTCGTAATTATTTCGTAATTATTTCGTAATTGTATTGTCGAAGGCTTTCATGGCTGGAATCACTAGGTTCTTGTGGGTTTTTTCGGGCTATAGGGCCATGTTCTAGAGGCATTCTCCTGACGTTTCGCCTGCATCTATGGCAAGCATCCTCAGAGGTAGTGAGGTCTGTTGGAATTAGGACAATGGGTTTATATATCTGTGGAATGACCAGGGTGGGACAAAGGACTCTTGTCTGTCGGAGCCAGGTGTGAATGTTTAGCTGATCACCTTCATTAGCATTTGAAGGCCTGCCTGAGCCTGGGAAAATCTGTTGCTGGGAGGTGTTAATCTGTGCCTGGTTTTTTCCTCTCTGTTGTTTAGCTGTTATAATTTTTGCAGGAGTCTACCGTATACCGTATACCATGCAGCTGTGGACAAGTCTACATAGGGACCACCAAACGCAGCATTGCCCAGACATGCATCAAGGAACATGAAAGGCACTGCAGACTACTTCAACCAGAGAAGTCAGCCATAGCAGAGCACCTGATGAACCAGCCTGGACACAGCATATTATTTGAGAACACAGAAATGCTGGACCACACCAACAACCACCATGTCAGACTACACAGAGAAGCCATTGAAATCCACAAGCATGTGGACAATTTCAACAGAAAGGAAGTGACCATGAAAATGAACAAAATCTGGCTACCAGTATTAAAAAACTCTAAAATTACAACAGCAAAACAGCAGAGAGGAAACAACCAGGCACATCTTAACACCTCTCAACAAAAGATTTTCCCAGGCTCAGCCAGGCCTCAAATGCTAATGAAGGTGGTCAGTTGAAACATTCACACCTAGCTCCAGCAGAGAAGAGCTCTTTGCCCCACCCCAGCCATTCCACAGATATATAAACCCATTTTCCTAATTCCAACAGACCTCACTACCTCTGAGGATGCTTGCCAAAGTGCAGGCGAAACGTCAGGAGAAATGCCTCTAGAACATAATTAAGAATCAAAACAATTTTTCTAATTTTCGTAATTATTCGTAATTATTTTCGTATGTCTGGTGCAAGTTTTACAATCTCGCATTTACCCCACTTCCGGTCCCTTTGCTCTGCTGCTTCCCTCCTCTTTCCTCATGCTTCTTCTTGCCTCACTCTAATATAATACTATAATATAATATATAATATTATATATAATATTATAATAATATATATATTATTATTATATTATATATAATATATATTATAATATTATATTATAATGTATTATATTATATTATATGTATTATTATTGATATTATTTATTATATATTATAATTATTATATATTATATTATTATTATATATATAATATAATAATATATTATATTATATTATTATATATATTATTATAATATATTATATTATTATTATATATTATATATTATATATATATTATTATATTTATATATATTATATTATATTATAATTTATTATTATAATTATAAATGTATAATATATAATAATTATAAATATAATAATATATATAATATAATAATAATAATAAATATAATATAATATAATATAATATATAATATAATATATATAATATAATATAATATAATATAATATAATATAATATAATATAGTTGTCTGTTTGTTTTATCACACCAACAGTCAACAACAGAGGGAGAGGGAAGCTTCAGAAGTTCCCCCTGTCCCATTTGGAGGTTTTTTTAGCATATTGCGCAATCGCGTCCGCCATTAACGAATCGATTCGTAATTTACGAAATTTCGGAATTTTGAAATTTTGAAATCTTAAATTTCGGAAGTCCTCAGAATTTAGAAACGCTAGCGCACCCTAGAAACGAAACGAGTTTAGAACCAATTTTTTTCTTGATCGCCCAAGCCTAGTGTATATATATTTGTGTATATGTGTGTCTGCATATATCTATGTGGTTTTGCACATATGTTGTAATGTAATTTTTGCTTTTTGGCTTTTTAAGTCTCTTTCGCTGTGTTTTTCAGTGTTATTATGAGTGATGGTCACTAGGCCTGTTTGATCAAGAAAAAATTTGTTTCTAAAATCGTTTTGTAATTGGGGTGTTTTTTTGTTTCGATATTTAAAATAATTACAAAACTTTCCCAAAAAAAAGTTTTGGTATTTACAAAATTTTGTAAATATTAACGAATTTTTAGAATATTTTTTGTATTTTTTAAGAATAATATTAAAATAAATATTAAAAAATAATATTAAAAATAATATTAAAAAATAATATTAAAAAATATTTTAAAATGGAAAACGAAACCGCACAGGCAGACATAGCGGGTTTGAGTCAGACCCAGCTAACACCTCCCAACAAAGGATTCCCCTGAGCAGGAAGAAGCCAGACTTTGAAGCTACAAGGCCATTTAAGCCCAATCAAGCTGTCCAATGGCAACATTCACACTTGCCTCCAACAGACAAGAGTTCTTTCTCCCACCCTGGACCTTCTACAGCCAGGCTTTGAAGCTGCGAGGCCATTCAATGCTAATCAAGGTGGCCAATGGCAGCATTCACAATTGCCTCCAACAGACAAGGGTTCTTTCTCCCACCCTGGACGTTATTTCACAGGGATATAAACCCTACTTGCCTAGTTTCCAACAAACCTCTGAGGATGCCTGCTATAAGATATGAGAGAAACGTCAGGAGAGAATGCTCCTGAATCCTCCTCCACATGCGGCTGCATAGTGAGTGAAGTACTGTATAATAGCACTGCATCAGGGGCGGCTGAAGCAACTTACGTGCCAAATCCCTGGCTGTGGGCTGCTTGCCTTGCTTGCTCGCTTCTCCAAGCGGGCGAAAGGAGAGGGAGAGAGAAAAACAGTGTGCTGCTGCCTGTCTCTTTAAGGAAGGAGCACATGGAGCCCTCGGCTGCCGGTTTGGCGGAGGGAGGGAGGCAGGCGCGCGCTTGGTTGCTCTGGGTTTAGCTGAGGAGAAAAAAAGAAGCAACCAAGCGCGCGCCTGCCTCCCTCCCTCCGCCAAACCGGCAGCCGAGGGCTCCATGTGCTCCTTCCTTAAAGAGACAGGCAGCAGCACACTGTTTTTCTCTCTCCCTCTCCTTTCGCCCGCTTGGAGCAGCGAGCAAGCAAGCCAAGCAGCCCACAGCCAGGGATTTGGCACGTAAGTTGCTTCAGCCGCCCCTGATGCAGCGCTATTATAATACAGTACTTCACTCACTATGCAGCCGCATGTGGAGGAGGAGGAGTGTTGGAAAACGGGGAGAGGGGAAAGAGGGCGGGGAGAGCAGCCCAGGCCGAGAAAGAGGGGAATGGCACCAGCACTCCAGCAGCCTCCATCCCATTAACGAAACGAGCGGAAGCTCGTTAAATTTATGGGGGCTGCCGGTTCGATATTTTTAAACCCTTCCGGGTTTGAAAATGTGTTTTGATATCGCTTCAAAAATGCAAAAATAACGAATTAATAACGAAATAACGAAATAACGAACTAAATCGCACAGGCCTAATGGTCACTCGTTGGCCTGAGAGGTGTCTTGTGTCCGAATCTGGTGTCAATTCGTCCAGTGTTTTTTTTTTTTTTAGTTATGTTAATTCCACAAATGAACATTAAGGAGAAGTGGGTCACAAAGTATTATGTGTGTTTACTAGGCTTGGGCGGTTTCGTTCGTTAATTTCGTAATTCGTTATTAATTCGTATTTAAATTAGTTTACGATCCAATATTGAGCCATGCAGGAATAGTGTGAGGAGTAATTAAGATTCGAAACAATTTTTTCAATTTATTTCGTAATTATTTCGTAATTATTTCGTAATTATTTTCGCATGTCTGGTGCAAGTTTTATAGTTGTTGTTGTTTTATCACACCAACGGTCAACAACAGAGGGAGAGGGAAGCTTCAGAAGTTCCCCCTGTCCCATTTGGAGGTTTTTTTAGCATATTGCGCAATTGTGTCCGCCATTAACGAATCGATTCGTAATTTTACGAAATTTCGTAAATTTCAAAATTTTTAAAAGGAAAATTTCGGAATTATTAAAAAAACGAAACGCAAGGGCCCCCTAAAAACAAAACGAGTTTAGAACCAAATTTTTCCGTGGTTACCCAAGCCTAGTATATATATCTTGTAAATATATATATATATATATATATATATATATATTAGGGCTGGGCGGTTTCGTTCGTTAATTTCGTAATTCGTTATTAATTCGTATTTAAATTAGCTTACGATCCGATATTGAGCCATGCAGGAATAGTGTGAGGAGTAAATTAGATTCGAAACAATTTTTTCAATTTATTTCGTTATTGTTTCGTTATTGTTTGAAATTATTTCGTAATTATTTCGTAATTATTTTCGCATGTCTGGTGCAAGTTTTATAGTTGTTGTTTGTTTTATCACACCAACAGTCAACAACAGAGGGAGAGGGAAGCTTCAGAAGTTCCCCCTGTCCCATTTGGAGGATTTTTTAGCATATTGCGCAATCGCGTCCGCCATTAACGAATCGATTCGAAATTAACGAAATTTCGTAAATAACGAAATTTTGAAATCTCAAAATTTCGGAAGTATTTAGAATTTGGAAACGCTATATGTCTCAAGAATCCATCCATCCTATCTATCTATCTATCTATCATCTATCTATCTATCTATCTATCTATCTATCTATCTATCTATCCCTCCATTTCCTATTTATTTATCCATGTGTCTATCCATCCATTCCTTCTATCTATCTATCTATTTATCTATCTATCTATCACTCCATCTATTCAT